TACGAAACGTACAACAAATAGAATTTTTTACATTCTGTAATGAATATTTCATTTAAGTTAATGAATATCAAATAACCATGAACAGAGTAGAGAGTAAGAGAGAGGAAAACAGGCAACGAAGGCAAAAATAACAAACATTAAAAAATGTTTTTTTTTTTTTTCGGTGGGGATAGAAAAAAGCACAGAAATAAGCACAAAGAAACATATTACATTTCAGATATCGTCTGCAAAATAATTGTAAAAAGGGTTGCGGCAGAAAAGTAATAAAGTTTGACCTTCGTAACAGTTTTTTTTAAAAAAAATCTAATTTGAATTTTAAATGGCAGTTAAAATTTTTTCAACCATTTTCTCAAAATATCTCGAAGCAAGTTTAATGAATAGAAAATTAGTAGAGCTTAAATTTTAATTATAAAAAGCTAACCGTCCATTCAACATGCAAATTAAGAGTCGCTTGGATTTTTGCATGCTCTAATTCAAAAATGTTTATCTGCATCAGCCACATATTTCCATCCACTCGTAGTTTACAATAAAAAATTTAAATGAGTATAAAGCTTACAATTTTTTTAAAAAAATAAAACGACCAGTCCCAAAAATGTTCAGAAACGAACATGAATGAGAGATGAGAATGGCAAAAAAGAATTACAGCAAGCAAACAAACAACATCAGTATCAACAGCCAAAGTAAAGTTTAAAGCGGCGAAAAAAATATGCTTTTATTAAAGTATTAGCTTCATTGTTGTAGGATGAATGAAAGCTGCTTCTTTCCATTGTGTAAATAGCTTGCGAGAGTTTCTTTATTTCGCATTTAATTCTCCTAAAAAAAGGAAGCTAGGTCGTTATTTCATATTTTATTTTATTGTGAAGAGGCAAAAAAACGCAAATTTTGCTTCCATTTCTGTAAATGCTCCTAAAATTATAATTTTTTTTCTGTGATAAATGTGTTCAATATTTTTTAATCTTAAATTGAGCCTTTTTGGTCGAGAGAAAATTATACAAAATAAACAAGTTAAAAAGTCACCCTGTGCAGATGTTTACATTCTTTTGGATGATGTTGTCAGGCAGAAAAGTAAAGAGATTACTTGTTTCTAAAAAGAAAAGACTTGAATTTGCATAGGTTTGGCATATTGTAACTTAATCAGAGGAATGCTGGTTGTATAGCTGATTTACAACGCTTGCTCGACTGTCAAAAAAGGCTTCGTTATTTGTTAATTCTGAAATTTGAAAAAAGGTTTTTTTACATTTGCACTTGACGATTTTGTCACTCAATTTAAGCCTCAATATGCATTTTATTGTAGTTCAATTGATCAAATAAGAATTAATTAGAATGAGCAACGATTTCTGCTTCATATTCTTGCAATGAATCTTCTTTTAAAAGCTCAAAATCACAAAATTAATTTTCTGATCATGAAATTGAATTTTAAACAAAATAATGTTGTGAAAATATTGAATAATAACAATCACTTCATCCAATTATTTCAATTATTGAGCAATTCAGAACCAGATGAAATATTAGCTTACAATTAATGCTCAAGGATTAAATTTTTAAGTGAGTTTCATGTTCAAAATAATTATTTTTCAACAAAAGGAACAAAAAGGATCCAAAAAACAATGAAGTTCGAGAAAAAACGTCAATCAATCAATTAAATGTTTAAAGGAGAACATGAAAAATAAATTTCACATTCAAAAGTTGTTTCTCATTGAAAGGAGTTTTCAGATTCTTTTCAAAAAAGCCGAGAAAATTGAGTTCGAAGGAACCCCAAAAAGCATTATTATTTGATCAGCTAAAAAATTCCAATTAAATTAAACAAGGAATTAATGTAGCCTATGTATCGAAAAGTTACAAACCGATTACAAAATAAATCATATTTGCGAAGAAAATGCGAAGCAATAGCAAAAATCTAATATTGGACAAATAACAAAGAAATTAAGGAAGAAGAAACAAATAACGAAGAAGCGAATTGAGCGAAAAAAGTTCTTTTTCTGACTGTTTATTAATAATAATCAAAAAAGAAAACTTTCCATGGTCGTTATGAGGAGCAATTAATACAATCTGTTGTGAAAATTTCATTTACTATATCCAAAGCCAATAATAGTCGATTGTCTGGTAACACAGGGAAGATGTCTGAAGCATATTAATAATCCCATCAGTTTATTATGTTTCCCCATCTATTAACTCTGTCGCATCATCCACATTTGATCTGATACGAAATTTATGAGTTTACTCAATGAAGAATAAAATTCATATTAGTGACTATATAAAGCTTATGTATCAATTCATTGAGGCTTAATATTCAATCAATTTGTGAGCAAAATCATATATACATGTTTGAGGTTACGGGGTGATTAACCAATGACGTTACAACCTCCCTGCTCAATTGTTTTAATTTTATTTCAAGAATTCATTCAGCTCCTCATAACCGGTTGACGTCATTTAAGAATTGCCCCCACAAGTTCACTCCAGCATTTGATTATTTTGATGAATTGATCTTTAATCGATGAGTGTTCTTCTCCATAATGAATAACTTATTTGCTCTTTTTTTTCGGGGAGGTTGCTGATTCTTTCGATAAAGTTGGTGAATTAAAGATTTTTCATGATTGATTGGAGCAAAATTAAATTACATTATAAGCTTACAGAGCTTAAATGAGATTGCTGTTCAACAAAGTTATTGTGGTAGGCATAATAATCTGCATGAATCGGCTTTACGAACTCAACAAACAGCGATTCTCTTTCCTTTGCATAATCACATTTATAAATATGCTTTGTAATAGTGTATATGTGAGTGCGTGTGTTGTTATCTATGCGCAAATAACATTTCAATTGTACGTTTATGTATGATGAGGATGAATATGAATAAGGAAAAAAACAGAAAAGCAAAATTAATCTGTTTAAAACAAGAACAAGTAAACATTGTGTATAGTGGCAGCATGTACGAGTTGCTGTTCACTAGAGATTGCTCATAAGATGCTTAGCATATTTATTTGCCAAAATAAACGATTTTGTTGTTGCAGATACTATCGAAGGATTTTTTTTTGGAATATCTTTAGGGATATCCAAAGATGACGTCTTATATTTAGCAAGGAAAGTCAAATTCTTGATTGACGTCATTTCTTTACAGTTCCTTAAGTGAATCAATATTGTTTATTGGTAAATTAGAGCTCCTATCAGGATTATCAATCAATATCGTTCAATTTTCATGCAAATTTTGGGTACGAAGTATTTGAATTTATATTTGACATAAAAAAGCTTTGCTTGCCTTACATAAAAATCGATGGAATCGATTCTTGAATAATTGTGTTAGTATTTGAATATATTTAGTCCCAGCCTATAACAAAAGGCTTGCTGATTAGCTGCAAAGGTTCTTTTCTTTCTGACTTTCAAAAATTCTGAATTTTGTTCGCGAAAAGTTTTCCATTTACAAATATTAAGTTTCTAGCGAAGCTTAAAATCCATTTCCACAAGCTTTATAAATTCTACCCTGCTGCTTCCTTAATTCCAACTGACATTGTGAAACAATAGACTTTCTCTCTTAAATTCCCTCGAAAATATCCTGTTGAATAAATTCGAAAAATGCACAAGCCCAGTGTGAATCCACAGAATGTATCCATAATTCAAATTAAAATTTTTATTTTACCTTTCATTATGTGTCAGCATTTTGAGAGAGAGGAAAAAAGTCACGCGAACCATATGCATAAAAGATGTAAATTTAATATTTTTATGGTGTAAAAAATAGCTAATATGTGCTCTAGTTCATGCGATACTTACAAGTAGATTTTATCATGTAAATTAATAGTTATTTTGCCATGTATTTATTACAATATGGCTTGTAATAAACTTGTTTGAGTGGCAAAATGTGCTTATTTTTGGGCATTTTTGTGTCTTCTTAAATAATATGCAGAATATGGAATTTCGAATAGATTGAAACCAGAAGTTTGGTTATTTTAGGAAACATTACAGTAGTTCAACATAAATCATTAAGTTTTCCATAGAAATGAAACATTAAGAACCGAAATTTATTTAATTTTCACTTGCTTGAAAAGTTTTGTGTCTGCTAATGCCAACAATTTCTTAAAACTGAGCAATTTTCTGTTCTTCTGGATGTTTAAATGAGATGATGCATCTATTCCATACGAAACTTTAAGGTGCTAAGTTTCAATTGCAAGTGCTGATGCTATAAAAATTATAACTGGATGTTCTTATTTTTCCACAATATAATCGCATCATAAAGAATTAAATACACAACATGAACAGCTAATCAATAATTTAATCAATTCTACTAAACGATTTTCAATTACAGTCATTGACCAGTTTCTGTCAATAACCCTGTCCAATAAATTAATAATTCAAGCTCAATATGTGCACATAATAAACTGCAAAATTCCTATAAAAACTTGATGCCAATCAACTTTTTAATCGCCTTTTTTTACAACATTTTCCACATCCACAAAATGATGGGATCCACGAACCTTTTTTTAGTCATTTAAAGCTTCTATTGCTGTATAATCGAATCTCTTAATTCATTCTGAATTATTTATTGCAAAATAAGGAGAAAAATTCATAAAAACCAAATTCAATTATTTACAGTTCTGTTCGTGTTTGGATTGAAATCTTAAAGTCAGAGACCGTCGACCGAGAGTCAAATGATTATTAAATAATGAATTGATGCAGTTTAACCTTCCAAGATTATATGGATAATTTAAACTGGATGATTTAAAAGAGAGAAAAGAAAGGAAGGAAGAAAATTACAAATTTATCGTGTTGTTCTCGTAATAAGCAGAGAAAATAACAGTAAAAATCACACGCCGGGGCATTAATAGAAGTTATCAAAGATATATAAAAATTCGTCGTGGAGGAAGGCTATGAAAGATAATGGAGATACAGAAGGAGAAGGAATGTTAATAAAGAAAATGTAATATTAAATGAATAGACGAAAGAGGAAGAAGAAAGAAAAGTTTCGTTTTTTTTTTGAAAAGTAAAGGAAGCGAGAAGAAAGACAGAAAAAAATGGAATGTGAAAAGACTTCTTTGAATTTCACAGCAATGCTGCTGGAAATAAACTGTCAAATAGCACAATTTCGGGATCTTCTTATTCACATTGGTCACGATAAGCATGATTCACCGGAACTTAGAATATCAATAAGGAAAACACGTCGTTCGTGTGTTGAACAATGCTTAAAGGTAGCAGAACTCATTTTACTTCAAATGAAAAGGTATGTAAGTGGATTACAGCACCAATCAATTCATTTATCTTTTAATAATATCATATAAAATCTGTTTCACTATCAACGTCTTAATTCTCTTTCTGTACATTTGCGTGTGACAAACAATAGCAGTGAAGAAGTATCAGCAACACCATTTGATAATCCACATCTTATTCTCCTCTTCTACCTCACTCAACTTTTCCTCCGTGAACTTGTTCGCTCTTATCATCTCCTTAAAATTATCCCTATGGACATGAGCGGATATTTCGGTAAGTTTCCATCATTGTGTGGCGCAGTCAATTGATGACATAAGTTTAAAGAGGCTCTAAAAAGAAGCTTATAAATATTTTTTTATCGCTTCCTGGCGCGCATTTTCCCTCGAGATAAAAGTTATAATGTACATTTTGCCCTATTCAGGCAGATCTTTTGAACTTTAAATCTTCTTTTGTGTGAATTTTTTTTGTGGACATTTGGTGGAGCTTTGATAACATTTTTGTGGGATATTCTGGTTGCTTGAGTTGACTGTACAATATATAGGAGGATTAAACTAAGTTTGAAAGTGTAATGGGATTTGTGGAGATGACCTAAGTTCTGGTAGAGATTTGAGGTTTGTTATTGATTGAAGCTATCGACTTTCAAGTCTAGAACATTAGTTTTGAAGCTATGATACTCTAGAACAAGACAAACTGCACTGCTGCTTTTGAACAACTTATGCCTAGTTTTGTGACTAGTTTTCAAAAGCGTCATCAACTCAAGCAATTGATTCTCTTCGACTAGTCACGAAATTTGTATTTTCGAAAACAAATTCATCCAGTATCTTTCCGTGAGACACGAACCTCCTCAAAATTTATGTCATGTTTGTACCAAAGCTAATTTTAGGTCTATAAATTGAACGAAAGTTTTGACAATTCACATTTTCTTAATAAATTAGGTTCTAGATATAAAAGCTCCAACATTTATTGGCATAATCAAGCTCAATTTATGTTATTATATTCAAAAAGTTTTGCGGTACTACGGTAGTTTCTAGCTCAAAGAAATTACTCTATTAATTTTATGTAGCATAATCAAAACAAGTCAATGAGAAATCTTCAAATCATTTCATTATTATTATCGTGCGTAGTTACACATTATCATAAACAAAATGCGCTCAAGTCATTAATTCACTATGGAAAGAAACTTTTACAATTTTCATTTTAAATGTGAACGCTGAACATAAAAAAGTGACAGAAAACTTTTCTCATTTTCTCAAAACAAATTTTTTGTTGCTTCCTTTTTACATGTTTTTGTTAACATTCGATGCTGGTGATGATGATGTTGGTATTGATGGCATGCATATGAACATACAGAGAATCGTATAGGAGGACAAAACTTGGGAAATGTGATAAGTCAAATACTGCTTTGTAAGCAAATTAATCCAGACTTTCAGCTGGAGGAACTAGGAAGCATAACAAAAGACTCAAAGGAAATTGCAAAAGTTCTATCAGAAATGCAGGAATTTATGCCGAAACAAGAGGCTTATATGGGTAAGACATTTCTCTCATTTATTTACATGCTATTAGCATTAAAAAAGGGTTCAATAATGACAGCTACAAATTTCTCACTCCAGAGACTCTCTTTTTTTTGTGTGCTCATTTAATTAATGTGCTGCGACAAATCTCCGTTTATTAGGCGGAAAAGACAAAAAACAACGGAAAGCAATTTTGATATTTTTTTCCAGTTCCTCCTCATTTTGTGCTCTAAGGCTCCGACAAAAATTCTTTTTACATCATTTAAATCTCACGCTACACTAATTATGTTATTCACTTCTATCTAACACCCACCCCACTTTTTTTTTTCAAGACTTAAACATTATTTAATGATGGTGATGATTATTTAATACCAACCGCAATTTTATTTTATACCTCATACCCATTACTTATTTCCCTCGTTTTTCTTGTCTTTATGCTTGTATTTAAAGCGCATTATTGCAACAAGAATGTTCTTTTGTGCTCACTTTAGGCAATTTATCTTTTAGTTCTTCTTGCTGAAGCTTTGGAAGTCTTTTAAATGAATTTTTATAGTTCTTCGTTTACAAAGTTGCTCAACAAAGTTATGGCAGCAAAACGAGCTTTGATTTTGTCTACATTTGATGCTGTATTATGTAAAGTTTAACAATTTCAAGATCCAGTGAATGATTCAGAGCCAAAAAGCCCAACTTTCTTCAAGTCGAACTGATTCCCTCAAGACAAGTCGCAGCACATGAAAAAAAGTCAGAAAATTTTTAAGCGCCTTCCACATCCAAAAAATCAACAAATTTTTACACTATTCTTTTATGTTTTATTCAATGCCTTTTACAGAACGCAACGAAGTCCTCGTAAAAGATAAACATATATCGTGCCCTGTGAAACGACGACGTGTTGAATCATTATACCGTAACATGGGTTTTTTCTGTTGCATTTCAAGACAACCACAGCCAAGTTACCTTTAAAAGACGTCTAAAATAGTTACATGAAAAGAGATATCCAGTAAGCAGCATGCAACAAGCTATTTTTTATACGTACATATGAAGCTTATGATTTTTTATGATGGCATCGGTGATTATAATGTTATAGAAAAAGAAAGAATTGAGAATGTGAAGCACGGAAAAAAATAAGAATTTGAGGTAAGAAAAATGTGAAGAATGAAATTCAGCATCCATAAAATAAATGGATTTGGGTATGAAAATGCATATGTAGCAACGAAATGAAATGTAAAGCTTATGACACTGTGAAGGAAATGAGAAACGAAAAGGAACATGATGATCATTTGTAAAATGTCAGTACCACCATAAAGTATATACACACATATAGCCTAAAACTTTAACTAATGTTCAATTCAAGATTTTCATTTGGTTCATCTTCGAAATAATCTAAGCTGAGTCTTTTTAGCATATTCAAATTTTTTATCTGATTCAGCTTAACATTTCCTGTATTAGGATCATTAATTAAACTTAAAGTGAAGATATATACTTGAATTTTGAGTATTCAAAGCACTGTTCATTCCTCAATTTCACTCCATAATATTTCCCGAATAAGAAAGCATCAAGTATGTAGATTTATGTGTATGTAGAATGGATCAAGAAAAAATATAAAGCTATAAAAAAATAACTCACATATAAAAAATATATCCATAAAGTTCTTACATTCCGTAATATTTATCATGCACAATGTGAAAATAATAAACATGAAACATTTATAAACATAGAGTCGTATTGAATAAGTTAAATGGTCATCAGATAAACGTGGTTAGAGCGCATTTTTGGGGTATTGTTGGAAAATTAGAAATATTTGAGATCCAGTGTCAGTTACTCTGACCAGGGGCGTAGCCAAGAATTTGAACAGGGAGGGGGGGGGGCAAATTTTTTTTGTGTAGAAAACTATTAGGGGGGGTTCGAGTTTTTCATAAAACACTAGCAGAATGAAGAAATTTCTCAAGACGAAGGGGGATTTGTCCCCCAAATCACCCCCCTGGCTACGAGCCTGACTCTGACAGATGCCTAATTTGAGTGATGTGAATACGAAAATAGTAAAGCTAGTCCTCAAAAATGCGCCGGTTGAAAAATAAATAAAAAATTTGGATCTGTTCACAAATGATGTTCAAAATGGTATTATTTTAAAGTCTCAGAGTTGCTCATCATGGCAATAATAGCTATGTTACTGCCATTAAGTGCGATTCGAAAAGAGTTATAGAGACAAGTAAATGTACATCACTTGTGAATGATCCCTAAGGCCTTTTAAAAAAGAATATAAATTATTACGAAACCAAATTTAAAATGTTCGGTTCCTGAAAAATGTCAAAAGACATTTTGACTTCCTCGACATATGGAAGATAAAATCTGATAATTACCAATTAACATAAATTACTTGTATGGACGTATAAAATTATGACATAAAATTATAGAGAACTTAAAAAGTTGTATGAAAAATTCCAAAAAAAAAACTGAAACATGAAGCAATTAAAGGACCTTTAATGATAAGTAAAACTGAATATATAAAAAGAAATTAAAGTAGAATGAATGGAAACTTTTGTGATGTATAAAAAAAGAAGAGATAAAAATAATTAAAATATTTAAATTAAATCGGTATTAAGGCACATTGCGAGAGATAAGAGTATAAACATTTGGTCCATAAAAATTATAATTGGCACTAAAGCTCAGTCAAATTATAGAAAATGATTATTTTAAAATTCTTCAAGTCACAATAGCTTGTACACATTTTAATAGAGACAAGACGAGATAGTTCCAATAGGATATTTAAAATGAGTCAAATTACAAGTGAATGTATCCCATTAAGAACTGTCGATGACAGAGAGGATGAAATGGCAAAATGTGAATGACGATAATTAAATATCCCCTTTTTTCGAGAAACTAGGTCAATTACAAATGTAGGAATCAAATATGTACATAATAATAGTGCTTTTTAAAGCCATATCACAAATTAAGTCATCCATTCCATTTTGTGTTTTGCATTCAAATGACTCATCAACATTGAGCTTCATGCAAAAAAAGAGAGATAGGAGTTAAATATGAAAATTTTATAAAATAATTATGATGATTTTCCTCAAACACAGCGCATCGCATTAAAATATAGTTACGATAGAAATTCAATATAAGTTCGCACATGTCAAATTATTTACCATCATACTCTAACCTAGAGTGTTCATTAGTAGATGAAATTTGTCGAATAAAAAAAATGTTTAAAATGTAATTTAATAAACTTTAACAACCGAGTGGTATGGAATATGAATGTAATGCTATGAACTTTGTTAGTCGTCTCTTGTAAAGAGTTCTGCTTTTAAGCGCTGATGATTTTACAGATTCTTTTATCCCACTTTTTCCTTTTTAATCCATATTTCTCATCACTTAAATTCTCAAAATCAAATTTTCAAACTTTTTGTCAACGATGTTCCTCTGTAATCTTCTTGGATCAAGCTCGTACGTACATTTTCAGCTTCAAAAAAGAACATATAAAATGTTACTGTTGACATTGTAACATATAACGTGAAATGGTAAACTTACAGGATTTGTCAAATTGAATTTTGATTTCATGTCTTTATGGCGTTTTCAAAGCTTTATGCCATGATACTAATGCTACAGATACGATAATATTATCGAAAATCATGGCAAAAGTAATGTGTGGAAAATAAGATTTATATCAAATATAATTTTTATTTTTGATACTTATAAAAAGCTTTAATATCAGTGCATAGAACTTTCTTTTGATTTATTATTCAAAACGATACTGCTAACTTAATTCTTTAATAGGAATTGATATTAATTCACTTTAGCATTTCCGCTCATGGCCTTTTCTTTTCATTCTTCTTTATAAAATGTGCTTTTTTGGACTTCTGAATAGATGGCTGGCTTTTGATGATGATCTCTAAATTATTTAACATTGGTCAATCTAGATCTGATGAGGTAATGGAACCAATTATGACTTGATTTCCTACATTAAGCAGTCGAAGTATCTAAACTTCCGAAAAAGAACAAATTTGGAAAACGGCTGGATTCGAACCGACGACCTTCGAGACCTACAGATTGACAGATGTTTATTCTTCGCAGTTTAAAAACAAACATATCTATAAGGGGCCGTTTACTTATTACGTTACGCAAAAAAAACGACTTTTTACAACCCCCCCTCCCTCCCCCCCCCCCTTGTCACAATATGTTACAACTCACAACCCCCCCCCCCCCCCCCCGACCGTTCATAATTTATTTTATCATTAAAAAGGTGGAAATTTAAAAACATTTTTTTGGTGTGAATTTGTAAACAAATTTTCGACAGTTAGAACGTTACATACTTCTTGACCCCCCCCCCCCCTATGTTACATTTTGTTACAATTAAGAACGTAATAAGTGAACGGCCGCTAAGGGGAATAACAACAATAAAGGGGGGAAGTCAACTGATTTCAGTTGTAAATACAATTTAAGTATTAAACGACAGTTAATATATTATCAACAGTATCAGTCGAAGTCAATCATTGCTGAATCTGCTGCTTAATTGTTTGTAAACATTCTTGAGGCAATTCTCTTAGTAGAAGTCAAGCCATCTCCACAGAAATCCTTATCGCCATACATTTTCTCCCGAATACTGTATACTACAACTTTTATTATAAATGAAGCCAATTTTCCTAATTTTAATTTTATGCTGAGAAAATTAATTTCAATAATTACATTATGTACGAGAAGGAAGGAAATTGATTCTAAATAGAAAAAAAAGAACATTTAAAATTATAATTATAAAATTTATGGAACTAGCAATAGAACTATTAATGAACTTTTTATTGTTTTCCTTCCTCGTCCAATTCATTAATAATAACATTTTTTTTTCCTCAAAAGTTTGTTCTCATACCTTGTCATTCGTACTTTTGTGGAACGAGATCAAGTAAATTGATGCTGAGTGGAAATTAAAAAGTTTACATTAACTTCAAGTTTCTATCTCAATGAGAAAGATGAGATAACAGCAAAATTTACAGTATATCCAGATCCACAAATATTTTTTAAGGGTTTATTTATTCTAATGATTTTAAAAGTTGCATGGAAATGGTCATTAAGGAAATATTTGTGGTTAGGGAGGTGGAGAAGGAGGTATGAGATTTCTCATTTACTTGAAAATTGTGGTTTCTGGTTTGTAATATTAATCTTTAAAAATCAGAACAACAGATTTAATTACAGCATCTCTTTAATGCCTTAAAAACGGAACTTAAATACGTTGATCTAGATGCCCAAGCTTTTTTAGCATTCAAGAATATATTTGTTTAGGAAAAAAGATTTTCATATTTTGAAATCGGATATGTAGATGAAAAATTCTTAGTAATGTGTACGTAAAGGCATAGATATGAATGTTCACATACAGTGGTGTATTCAGGGATATGGGAGAGTCAATACTAGGAACTACTGGAAATGGGGCATAAGGGGAACTATAGTAAATTAAGAATATCGTAGAATTATTTTGATAAACTTCTCTAGAGTTTTCTTACAAAAACTTGTGACACCCCTGCACATATATTCAAATAAATTTTTATGTTAGGTAAAAGAAAAAGTTATCTAACTTACACCATCTCTATTCTAATGTTATCAAAGCGAGACTCCAATATTATAAATTTGCTCCACATAATATAAATGTGCAGACAAACGAGAATTTTTCCTTTTTTTTCTACCACATCTCTTTGTTCAATGAGAAAGAAAGAAAAAAATTAAAAACCATAGAATAACAATATGTAGATGGAAATACGAATAATGCTGGTGGGTTCATAATGAAAATTGATTTAACTTACGGATATTTTCATAAATTAATTGGATTCGATATGAGATTATGCAGATATTTTGAGTAAATAAATGTTTCCTAGCAAAGTCTTATTTTTTCAATATCTTTAAGGGGTCGTTCACTTATGAGGTCCACAATTAGCGGTCATTTTTCAAATTAGAATGAAATTCCAGGAAATTCTATTGTTCTTTTCTAGTTGACCCCCCCCCCCTGGGGACGTCATAAAAGAACGTCCCCTAATCAAAAGTTCTGATATTTAATAGCTGCTGCTCTATTTCATTGATTGAAGCTCACTTGCTTTATTTATTCATCAAATTTACTTCCTTTTTAGAGATTCATCATGAATTATTATCCAAAAAGGAAGAAGAATACAGTTTTATCAATACTTTTTCTACATTAATTATTGATCAACAGCACGCGCAGATAGAATCAGGCACGAGATCAAAAGAAGATGAGAACATTAAAGGCGAGTCACGTTTTTTATTAGAATAAATAACACCTGCGAGTATAATTTTCCTAATTATGTGACAAGTAATTAACACATTCGAAGTTGATGAAACTACATTAATTATAGTTTGAAGGCTGTAAGGGCTCGTTCACTTATTACGTAACGCAAAAAAACGAATTTTTAGACCCCCCCTCCCCCCCCTGTAACAAAGCGTAACAAAATCTTAGACCCCCCCTCCCCCCCCCCATAACGTAACAATAATTTTTTTCATTTAAATTGTTTATCAAATGTTTATTATACTTCCTTTAAAATTTAAAATTAATATAGAAAAAATTATAAAAAAATATATTTTTTGAAAAGTTACGTAACAAAATTTAGACCCCCCCCCCTCCCCCTGTAACAAACCGTAACAAAATCTTAGACCCCCCCTCCCCCCCTAGTGCGTTACGTAATAAGTGAACGAACCCTAAACACTATCTTGACTGCCGAGTAGGCTTCTGTTTGGTCGATTATTTCATGCTTTAATTTATTTTCTTTTGATTATTGTGCATTGATTTTATGTTTTCGACATCTTTATTGTCAGGAAGCAGATGTTATGTGTAGCTTGTGTTCATGTGAGAATGTCCATAACTTTATTGAACGATAAGGATTTGAGGCTGTGTCTGAAACAGTCAAGTTTGTGGATTCAATTTATGAGAATTTTCGCTTGATTAGGTTAAGGTCCAAAATTGGAAGGAAAGCTATTTTCATTAAACTCAAGCTTCTGTAATCGAAAATCCTTAAGTCTAAATCAGTCACAGTCCTATTAAAAAGCAACTCTGTAAACAAACTCAACCTGATTCAAAGAGCTTTAATACATATTGACAACAATGAGCACATTCTAATGTGCTCACGTGCTTCATTTGCACATCAAATCGCTTTTGTACAACAAAAGTGATGAACAGCAAAGCGAAAAAAATTCCGTGCCATTCGGGTAAAACCCAAAATTCCCATTGTTACCGTGAAATTTATATCATAATGTTGACGCATGGAAGAAAGAAAGAAAAAAAAAATCAAATAAACACCTAAACATGAAGATGTGGAACCATGAAATTTTCATTATGAATTCCTTTCACATGAATTGAATTGATGAAGAAAAAAAAAAGAGAAAAGGAGGAATACCAACAAAAGAACAGAAAGTTTGTCATATTACTTTTTTCCTCTCTTTCCTTCCTATTTTATCTGAATAATAATGTTTTCCCACATGTAAGGAAGACATATACATTTATCTAGATATACTTATGCTATATTTAAAATTAAAATCATGAACGCTATTATGGAACCAACAGATAAAACAAACAGTAGGCAAATGGTTTATATAGAATAAAATGTTATCAATAATGTAAGGTAAAAAAAAAGAGTTATATAATTGAAAATAAAATGAACTATCACTTACAGTTCTATCTGTGTATGACATAAAATTCGACAAACAAAACATTTAACAAAAAAAATGTAAAAAACCAAAAACGAGAAAAAAAGAAATAAATCGATGAAAATTCAATTTTCAATTGTTTGGTTTGATTTTTATTTTTGTTCCTCATTCCCGCACTTTCTGCTCTTTATTTATAGGAATTAAATAATAA